CAATAATAATAACAACAACAACAAAGCTTTCAACAACAACAACAATAAAGCTTTCAACAATAACAACAACAAAGCTTTCAACAACAACAACAACAAGAAAGCTTTCAACAACAATAACACCAAAGCTTTCAACAACAACAACAAATCCTTCAACAGCAAAAACAACAAAGATATCAACAACAAAAACAACAAAGCCTTCAACAACAAAAACAACAAAGCTTTCAACAACAACAACAACAATAAAGCCTTCAACAACAACAACAAGAAAGCTTTCAACAACAATAACACCAAAGCTTTCAACAACAACAACAAATCCTTCAACAGCAAAAATAATAAAGTTTTCAACAACAAAAACAACAAAGCCTTCAACAACAATATACAACAAAACTTTCAACAACAAAAACAACAAAGCTTTCAATAACAACAACAACAACGGAGGCGAAACAGTCGGAGGGAAAGCCGGAGCTCCTTTCCCAGCGAGGGAGACAGAGCCCCACGGAGGAATCTTGACTGGCAGGGAGTCGTGCAAGACCCTGCCGAATGTCTTGCAAGATTTCTAGAGCAACGCCTCCAAGTCCATGAGAAAAGGTCGTTATCCGGATGCATCACGAAGGGGCGTCGGGGATTCAGGAAAGAATGGATATTAAGGTATACAAAAATAGGTCGATAAACGTGGGTAAAAAGAAATCGACAAATATGAGTAAAATGGTCGATAGATATAAGTAATAAAGTCGATAGATATAAGTAATAAGGTCGATAGATATAAGTAAAGAAAAGACGAACAGGGGCGTCATTTCAACTTTTGCTTGGGGGGGGGGGTCGGTGAGCGAAGTGAATACAGTTAACTCGAATTTTTTTTTTTTTTTTTTTTTTTTGGGGGGGGGGGGGGTGGTACGGTGAATAAACTCAACAGATTATAAACAAAATCCTATTGGATAATATGATAAGTCTTTGTCAACTAAATGTTATGGCATATTTATTTTTTTATATACATAACATTTTTTTCAGGTATTCAAGGATAATATATATAAATTTATTCATACGTTGCTGTTATAGCTCTACTACCACTAGTTGCTCAACAAATATAAGTAAAAAAAAGTCAACAAATGTAAGTAAAAAGGTTCATAAATAAAGTTAGCAAGTAAAAAAGTAAGTAAAAAGGTCAACACATTTAAGGAAAAAAGTCAACAAATGTAAGTAAAAAGGTTCATAAATAAAGTTAGCAAGTAAAAAAGTAAGTAAAAAGGTCAACACATTTAAGGAAAAAAGTCAACAAATGTAAGTAAAAAGATCGATAAATATAAGTAAAAGGTCGACAACTATAAGTAAAAAAAATGACAAATATAAGTAAAAGGGACGGCAAATATAAGTAAAAGAGACCGCAAATATAAGTAAAAATATCGACATATATAAATAAAAAAACAAACATAAGTAAAATCGTCGACGAAAAATATTAAACATCAACACGATCTCCTTTTTTTTAGACTAGAAGTTATTAATAAAGAATAATAACTTCTAGTGGCAAGAACGTGACAGAAAATAAACGGCAAAATATAGGAATTGTCTCGTCCACATATCCATGAAGGCCATTTGAACGAACAAATAAACAGACGAAGGAGGCAGGTGTTGCACCCTCAACAACTACAACTACAAAAACAGCAACTACAGGAACAATAACACCTACTACAACTACAACAACAATAACTACAACCACTACAACAAGAACAGTAACTACAACTACAACCACTACAACAAGAACAGTAACTACAACTACAACCACTACAACAAGAACAGTAACAACAACAACAACAATAACAACACTAACTACAACCACTGCAACAAGAACAACAGCAAGAGAAACAACTACAACAAGAACAACAGTAACAACTACAACACTAACTACAACCACTGCAACAAGAACAACAACTACAACAAGAACAACAGCAAGAACAACTACAACAACCCTACAACTACAACAATAACAACAGATACAACACCAATTACAACAGCTACAACAACTACAACTACTACAACATCAACATCAAAGTCAACATAGTCTGAAGGATCTTGCGTTGAGAGCAAATCATGGGAGACATTTGGCGTAAAAAAAAGAAGAAAAAAGATTGCGAAAAAATACATCTGGTTGTATATTTAAGATGTTTTTTCTTTTCTTTTTTTAGATGGATATGTATTAGGGGTTGGTCACATAAGGGGGGAGGGATTTGTTTGTGTCTCTGTCTCTGTCTCTGTCTGTCTGTCTGTCTGTCTGTCTGTCTGTCTCTCTCTCTCTCTTGCAATATAACCAGAATCTAAATTAAAACTAAAACACAACATATACAGAATGTAAAATAATTAAACACACAACAAGTAACACATATATAGAATCCTTTAAATAGACAAATAAATAAATAAATAAATGAATATAGAGAAATGGATAAATAGATATACATATAAATAGATAAATGAATAAATAAGTGACAATCTGCCACCATCACCACACCAGCCTAACCCAGAATGACTCAGCAGCTTCCTTGTGACCCACATTCAAACAAAAACAACAACAACAATAACAATAACATAAGTAACAGCAATAAGACCAATAACAATAACAATAACATCAATAACAGCAATAAGATCAATAACAATAACATCAGTAACAGCAATAAGATCAATAACAATAACAATAACATCAATAACAGCAATGACAATAACAACAACTACAACATTCATCAACAAGAACAACAAATGCAACAACACCATCATCATCACCATCAACATCAACAAAACAGACCCTCACAATCCCTCTCGTCACCATCACTATTATCATCACCACCACCACCATCATGCTCACCGTCACCATCACCATCACTATGACCTCCCTCACCACCACCACCACCTCCCCTACCACACCCCTCACCGCCCCCCACCTCCCACCCTCCTCCTCCCCAGCACCACCAACCCACCCCTTCCTTCTCACTCCCACCTCCCCCCCTCCCAACTCCCCAACCCCCCCTTCACCCCCTTCTACCCCCGTCACCGTCCCCACCCACCCCCCTTCCCGCATCCCACCTCCCCCCTTCACCCCTCCCACCTCCCACCTCCCTCCCTTCACCCCTCCCCCACCTCTCCCCACCACCTCCCCCACCCTTCCCTGCCTCTCCCCCCACCTCCCCTGTCACCCCCATCTCCCCCCTTTTAACCCCCCCCCCCCCCTCGCTCACCTGCGCGAAGAACCCTACATTGGGCCTGACGGTGGGCCTGGCTCCCTTGACGGTCTCGTAGGCGAACCATCACCCTCCCCCCTCCCCCCTCCCACTTCCCCTTCACCCCTGCCTCCCAACCCTTCTCCACCCCCTTCACCCCTCTCCCCCCTATTTAGAACCCCCGCCCCCCCTCACCTGCGCGAAGAACCCGACATTGGGCCTGACGGTGGGCCTGGCGCCCTTGACGGTCTCGTAGGCGAACCATCACCCTCCCCCCCTCCCCCCTCCCACTTCCCCTTCACCCCTGCCTCCCAACCCTTCTCCACCCCCTTCACCCCTCTCCCCCCTATTTAGAACCCCCGCCACCCCTTACCTGCGCGAAGAACCCTACATTGGGCCTGACGGTGGGCCTGGCTCCCTTGACGGTCTCGTAGGCGAACCATCACCCTCCCCCCTCCCCCCTCCCCACTTCCCCTTCACCCCTGCCTCCCAACCCTTCTCCACCCCCTTCACCCCTCTCCCCCCTATTTAGAACCCCCGCCACCCCTCACCTGCGCGAAGAACCCGACATTGGGCCTGACGGTGGGCCTGGCGCCCTTGACGGTCTCGTAGGCGAACCATCACCCTCCCCCCTCCCCCCTCCCACTTCCCTTCACCCCTGCCTCCCAACCCTTCTCCACCCCCTTCACCCCTCTCCCCCCTATTTTAGAACCCCCGCCCCCCCTCACCTGCGCGAAGAACCCGACATTGGGCCTGACGGTGGGCCTGGCGCCCTTGACGGTCTCGTAGGCGAACCATCACCCTCCCCCCTCCCCCCTCCCACTTCCCCTTCACCCCTGCCTCCCAACCCTTCTCCACCCCCTTCACCCCTCTCCCCCCTATTTAGAACCCCCGCCACCCCTCACCTGCGCGAAGAACCCGACATTGGGCCTGACGGTGGGCCTGGCGCCCTTGACGGTCTCGTAGGCGAACCATCACCCTCCCCCCTCCCCCCTCCCACTTCCCCTTCACCCCTGCCTCCCAACCCTTCTCCACCCCCTTCACCCCTCTCCCCCCTATTTAGAACCCCCGCCACCCCTCACCTGCGCGAAGAACCCGACATTGGGCCTGACGGTGGGCCTGGCGCCCTTGACGGTCTCGTAGGCGAACCATCACCCTCCCCCCTCCCCCCTCCCCCCTCCCACTTCCCCTTCACCCCTGCCTCCCAACCCTTCTCCACCCCCTTCACCCCTCTCCCCCCTATTTAGAACCCCCGCCACCCCTCACCTGCGCGAAGAACCCGACATTGGGCCTGACGGTGGGCCTGGCTCCCTTGACGGTCTCGTAGGCGAACCATCACCCTCCCCCCTCCCCCCTCCCACTTCCCCTTCACCCCTGCCTCCCAACCCTTCTCCACCCCCTTCACCCCTCTCCCCCCTATTTAGAACCCCCGCCACCCCTCACCTGCGCGAAGAACCCGACATTGGGCCTGACGGTGGGCCTGGCTCCCTTGACGGTCTCGTAGGCGAACCATCACCCTCCCCCCTCCCCCCTCCCACTTCCCCTTCACCCCTGCCTCCCAACCCTTCTCCACCCCCTTCACCCCCCTCCCCCCTCCCCCCTCCCCCCTCCCCCCTCCCCCCTCCCCCCTCCCCCCTCCCCCCTCCCCCCTCCCCCCTCCCCCCTCCCCCCTCCCCCCTCCCCCCTCCCCCCTCCCCCCTCCCCCCTCCCCCCTCCCCCCTCCCCCCTCCCCCCTCCCCCCTCCCCCCTCCCCCCTCCCCCCTCCCCCCTCCCCCCTCCCCCCTCACCCTTTCCCCTTCAACACCCTGCCTCCAAACCTTCTCCAACCCCTTCAAACCCCTCTCCCCTCGCCCCCCCTATATTAGAGAACCCCCCAAACCCCTCCACCGGACCCTGCGCGAAAGAACACGAACATTGTGGCGGAACGGGTGGGCCTGGACGCGGCCCCTTGAAGGTCCCTCGTAGGGAAACCATCAACCCCCCCCCCTCCGCCCCCCCTCCCACTTCCCCCCTTCACCGCCGCTGCCTGCCCACCCTTCCTCTCCTTCTCCAACCAACCCCTTTCAACAATCACAAACCCCGCTCCTTCCCCCCCTATTTAAACCCCCGCCACCCCTCACCTGCGCGAAGAACCCGACATTGGGCCTGACGGTGGGCCTGGCTCCCTTGACGGTCTCGTAGGCGAACCTGAGGCTCATCTGCGGTAGGTCGTGCTGGCCCACGAGCGCGGCGATGGCCAGCGAAGACGAGCGGCTGATCCCCGCCAGGCACACGGTGGCCAGGCCCGTGCCTCGCTCTGAAGGGGGGGGGGGAGAGGTGAGGATTAAGATTTTGAATTTAGTGTTTTGTTTGGGGGGGGGGTAGTTATTTATTTATTTGTTTATCTGTTGATCTATCTGTCTATCTACCTATCTATCTATCTAATTTATCTATCTACCTATCTATCTATCTATCTGTCCTTCCATCTATCTATCCATCCATCCATCTATCAATCTATCTATATATCAATCAATCTAATTATCTAACTATTCTATCCATCTCATCTGCCTATTCTATCTATCTAATCTATCTATCTCTGTATCTATCAATTCTTTATTATTATTTTTTGAGGGAGGATTGATTAAATTACCGAACAAATAGGAGAGATATGCGAGTATAATAAGAAATAACGTGAATAATTCAAAACATGGATATTAAAAAAAAACATTTAATTGTATATTCATAAAAAAGACAGATGCAGATATAAAATGATATTATCTGTTCTTATTGGGTAAGTTTTGTCTCTTATATTTCCAAAATAGTGTTAATAATGCCTATCTCTAAAATAAATATATAAAAAATTTACTCCTGTTTTGATATTTTTTAATAATTCCAAATGCATTACTGTGTATGTTCGTTACCCATTCACATACTAATGATATTTTCATCACTTTTAATCAAACTATGAATCAAACAGCTTAGTAGATTATTTCACAAAATTCCAAAATTCGCCTAAATGAAAGAAAGAGAGAAAGATAGAAAGAATAATAATGATTAAATGAGATAACGAGTAAATGAAAAGAAACAACAAAACAACCAAGTAAAACACAAAAAACACAGTAACAATAACAAAAATAACAAATATAGATAAATGTAGCAGTAACAATAACAAACAAAAAACAATAACCAAACAAATAAAAAACAACAAAAACAAATTAAAAAAAACGAAAAAAAACAAAAAAAAACTGGAGAAAAACAGAAAACGAAAACACCCGTGATTTTTCCTCCCCTCCCTCAACCCCTTTATACAAGTCCTCATATCCATAAATACTTATACAGATCTCGCCCTTACTGCGACACTCGGCGAACTCCTCAGCCACTCGAGGGAAGAACGGACTCAAGTCTTGGTCGCACTCGTCTCGGAGCCGGACCTCGATCACGCTCACACTCTGGGGGCGGGAGGAGGAGCTGAGATGTGCTGGTCGGGTTGCGGGCGTGAGACACGTGGTGGTCTTATGTACGTACTTGTGTATTTATGTCTAACTATGTCTGTGAATGGATGAGGGTTATTATGCAGATAATGATGCGTGCATTTGTATCTGTGTCTACTTCTGTCTGTGAATGAATGAGGGATTTTATGTATATATTGATACGTACATGTGTATTTATGTCTAACTATGTCTGTGAATGATTGAGGGGTTATATGCATATAATGATGCGTGCATGTGTATTTATGTCTACCTCTGTCTATGAATTTACATATAATGATATATACATGCGCATCTATGTCTACTCTGTTTGTGAATGGATGAGGATATTCAAATATATAATGATACATACGTGCTATATACAATAATACGTGCGTATATATCTATATCTACCTCTGTCTATACTTAATGTAATTTTATGTGATACAGTGATACGTGCATATGTATCTCCATCGACCTCTATCTATGAATGAATGAAAACATTTATTTATTCGTACATATGTATCGACATTGATGAATAAATGGGTTAGTCACTCAATCTATTTATCTATCTATCTATCTAACAACCAATTTATCTACCTACCTCCTCTCTATCTATATAGTTAAGAATATAGAGTTTAAAAGTAAGATTGTTATCACAAATAAACAGCATATTTGATATCAAACTCGATAAAAACAGACTAGTTCAAAGTATTGTTATTATTATTGATATTTCTATTATTATGATCCTTTTTAAGATTGTCATTATCACTATCATTATTACTATTAACATCCACAAACTTTTTTGTCCTCCTCCTCCTCCTTTCTTCTTCTATCACCTCATTACCTTTCTTCTCCTCCTCCTCTCCTCTCCTACAACCAATCACCTTTTTTTCTTCTCCTCTTTCTCCTCCTCCTCCTCCTTCTTCTATCACTTTCTCCTCCTCCTCCTCTCCTCTCCTACAACCAATCACCTTTTTTTCTTCTCCTCTTTCTCCTCCTCCTTTCTTCTTCTATCACCTCATTACCTTTCTTCTCCTCCTCCTCCTCCTCCTTTCTTCTTCTATCACCTCATTACCTTTCTTCTCCTCCTCCTCCTCCTTCTTCTATCACTTTCTCCTCCTCCTTTCTTCTTCTATCACCTCATTACCTTTCTTCTCCTCCTCCTCCTCCTTCTTCTATCACTTTCTCCTCCTCCTTTCTTCTTCTATCACCTCATTACCTTTCTTCTCCTCCTCCTCCTCCTTTCTTCTTCTATCACCTCATTACCTTTCTTCTCCTCCTCCTCCTCCTTCTTCTATCACTTTCTCCTCCTCCTCCTCCTTCTTCTATCACTTTCTCCTCCTCCTTTCTTCTTCTATCACCTCATTACCTTTCTTCTCCTCCTCCTCCTCCTCCTCCTCCTCTCCTCTCCTACAACCAATCACCTTTTTTTCTTCTCCTCTTTCTCCTCCTCCTCCTCCTTCTTCTATCACTTTCTCCTCCTCCTCCTCCTTCTTCTTCTTCTATCCCTTTCTCCTCCTCCTCCTCTCCTCTCCTACAACCAACCAACCTTTTCCCCTCCTCCTCCTCCTCCTCCTTCTTCTATCACTTTCTCCTCCTCCTTTCTTCTTCTATCACCTCATTACCTTTCTTCTCCTCCTCCTCTCCTCTCCTACAACCAACCAACCTTTTCCCCTCCTCCTCCTCCTCTCCTCTCCTACAACCAACCAACCTTTTCCCCTCCTCCTCCTCCTTCTTCTTCTTCTATCCCTTTCTCCTCCTCCTTTCTTCTTCTATCACCTCATTACCTTTCTTCTCCTCCTCCTCCTCCTTCTTCTATCACTTTCTCCTCCTCCTTTCTTCTTCTATCACCTCATTACCTTTCTTCTCCTCCTCCTCTCCTCTCCTACAACCAATCACCTTTTTTTCTTCTCCTCTTTCTCCTCCTCCTCCTCTCCTCTCCTACAACCAACCAACCTTTTCCCCTCCTCCTCCTCCTCTCCTCTCCTACAACCAACCAACCTTTTCCCCTCCTCCTCCTCCTTTCTTCTTCTATCACCTCATTACCTTTCTTCTCCTCCTCCTCTCCTCTCCTACAACCAACCAACCTTTTCCCCTCCTCCTCCTCCTTTCTTCTTCTATCACCTCATTACCTTTCTTCTCCTCCTCCTCCTCCTTTCTTCTTCTATCACCTCATTACCTTTCTTCTCCTCCTCCTCTCCTCTCCTACAACCAATCACCTTTTTTTCTTCTCCTCTTTCTCCTCCTCCTTTCTTCTTCTATCACCTCATTACCTTTCTTCTCCTCCTCCTCCTCCTTCTTCTATCACTTTCTCCTCCTCCTTTCTTCTTCTATCACCTCATTACCTTTCTTCTCCTCCTCCTCCTCCTTCTTCTATCACTTTCTCCTCCTCCTCCTCCTTCTTCTATCACTTTCTCCTCCTCCTTTCTTCTTCTATCACCTCATTACCTTTCTTCTCCTCCTCCTCTCCTCTCCTACAACCAATCACCTTTTTTTCTTCTCCTCTTTCTCCTCCTCCTCCTCCTTCTTCTATCACTTTCTCCTCCTCCTCCTCTCCTCTCCTACAACCAACCAACCTTTTCCCCTCCTCCTCCTCCTTCTTCTTCTTCTATCCCTTTCTCCTCCTCCTCCTCTCCTCTCCTACAACCAATCACCTTTTTTTCTTCTCCTCTTTGTCCTCCTCCTCCTCCTCCTTTCTTGGTCTATCACCTTGTTACTAATCATCCTTTCCTCCTCCTCCTCCTTTCCTTTTCTATCCCGTTATCACCAATCAGTGTTTTTCCTCCTTCTTCTATCTTCTTTTATCACCTCATTACCTTTCTTCTCCTCCTCCTCCCCTCTCCTACAACCAACCAACCTTTTCCCCTCCTCCTCCTCCTCCTTCTTCTATCACTTTCTCCTCCTCCTCCTCTCCTTTCCTATAACCAACCTTTTTCCCTTCTCCTCCTCCTTCTTCTTCTTCTATCCCTTTCTCCTCCTCCTCCTCCTCTCCTCTCCTACAACCAATCACCTTTTTTTCTTCTCCTCTTTCTCCTCCTCCTTTCTTCTTCTATCACCTCATTACCTTTCTCTTCCTCCTCCTCCTCCTTCTTCTATCACCTCATTGCCTTTCTCCTCCTCCTCCTCCTCTCCTTTCCTACAACCAATCACCTTTCCTCCTCCTCCCCCTCCCCCCCCTTCCTCTCACCGGCAGCGAGGGCGGCGCGACCTCCGGCGTGGCCCACACGACGCACGATATCCTCCTCGTCGCCAGGGCCTCGGGCGTGATGTAGCGGGCGGGCGCCACCCACAGCCCCGCCCACACCTGCGTGAGTCCGAGGTCCCAGCGCCCACCTCTCGCCATGGGGGTGGGGGGTGGGGTGAATGGGGGGAAGGGGCTGTGACGGGGGTGGGTTGGGGGTTCTCCTGTGGGTGTGGGGAAAAAAGGGGGTTGGGGTGAATGAGCGGTGTTTTATTAGCTTTTTTTTTTTTTTTTTTTTTTTTTTTACACACACACACACACACGCACACATACACACACACACACAAACACGCACACACACAAACACGCACACACACATGCACACACACACACACACACACTCACACACACACACACACACACACACACACACACACACACACACACATACACGCGCGCGCACACACACGCACACACACACACATACACACACACACACACACACACACACACACACACACACACACACACACACACAGTAGCTATGGCATGTATTCTTGCCATCTCGACCCTACGGGTTAAAAGGGAGGGAAGTGATCTACTGTAATTATAAAACCTGCAGGATTTTTTTTTTCCTATTTTTTTTTTTGCCTAAAGTGCGGCTCTCATAGTGAATGAACTGCAGCAAAATGGCTCTCTTGTAAATATTAGGTAATATAGCTGCGTTTCACATAGTTTTCATACTTTCACTAAATTTTAACATTATTATCAATATTACTATATTACTACTCATACCATTATCATCATATTAGTTGCATTTATCATTATTAACATTATTAATACTTTTTGCTATTGCTATCAACATCACCATTATTGCTATCATTTCTGTTACTACTTTCATCATTATAATTGCTATTATTTTCAACCTTACCATTATCATTATACCATTATCTGCATTTCCACAATTCCTATAGACTTCGTTATCGTGCTTTCTCCTGTGTCCTTCATTTATCCTATTAGTTCTTGTATTCCTCACCATAAACAGAATTCAGCATCTCGGAAATTCACGTCTTACGGTTTTCTCTATTTCACTCTTTTATCAGAATCGCTATTGCAAAACAGAATCAGTATCTGGTCATTACGATGCAATTCCTCCACAAGTGATACATCCTCTACCTCAGTCGTTCCCTTTAAGTATATATATTTTATCCTAGCAACACATCTTTAAAACTGAGTGAGAAAAATATCCAGCAACCTTCATCAAAACAATTTTTATTCAATACTCCTTCTAAAGACCAAGCTTCTTAGTACAAACACTGCTGAACTCGAAGCAAATCAGCCCAAAATATATCTCATTTTTCTCTCTGCTAATCTCGACTCCCTCGGCAGTTACGACTCAATGGCGGGGAACTGATGCAAAGGTCTACAGTTTTTTTGTATTTAATATAGTGTGAAGTTGCAGAGCAGTTTCGTTCGTTGTTTTTTTTCTACGTGTATACCTGTCTGATTGTTTATCTGTCTATTTTCATTCATGTTTATTTTGTTCTCTCTCTTTCTTACTGTCTCTTACTCTCTCCTTCTTCTCTTTCTCTCGTTTTATTATTATTATCATTATGTTTATTCATCTACCTCACGTGTGTGTATTTTTTATTTCTCTGGCTCTCTCTCTGTCTGTCTAACTCTTTCTCTCTTTTTCTCTTTCTTTCTTTCATTCTATTTCATTTTCTTTCTTTCTCCCCCCCCCCTCTCTCTCTCTCTCTCCCCCTCTCTCTCTCTGACACACACACAATCTCACTACTTTAGGGATCACAATAACTTCAGGAACGTCACAAAAAATATCTTGAAAAAAAAAAACATCATTAGGAACTGTTAACTATCTTTATCGACAAAATATTAATAATAACAATAAAATAAATAAAAATGAAAACAAAATCAATAAATACAAAACCCTTAGATAAAAAAAAAAACTCACGCCCTCGGATAATGGGCGGCGAAGCGTGGTCTTTTTCACGTCGAGGGCCAGCATCGGCATTTAATTGATTGTGATTTATATAATGGTAGGGTGATCTCATCCCCTATGCAATCATTGAAGAAAGGCACGGCTATGTTTTTACAGATCTATGTAAATGTAAATCAATATACATATATATATATATATATATATTTTTTTTTTTGTTATATATTATTATTATTATCATTATTAATATTATTATTACAAAATTATGTAACTGTAAATATATTTATTTTTCGTTATATATATATTTTATTTTTACAGATTTTGCTGATTTATGACTCACAGATTCGTTGAAGAAATCCACGTTTTTTTCCCTATATCGTTTTATAGTGAGAGGGAAGGGAACGGTGAAGGTGGGGGCGAATATCGAGTATGGTGTTGACAAAGGTGGATGTGATGATGAGAGTGGCTGTGGTAGGCGTGGTGGTGATGATGGTGATGATGATGATGAGAGAGGTCGAGGTAGAAATGGCGGTGATGAATGTAATGATGATAGTGACCGTGAGTAGAGGTGGTAGATGTGATGATGGTGATGATGATGATGATGATGATGATGATGATGATGATGATGAGAGTGGCCGTGGTAGAAGTGGTGATGATGTTGGTGATGAAAGTTGGTGGTAAATCGTGAAAATGATAAGGGTGGTCATGAC